ATCAGACAATTTCAGATCAAACGATTATAAACAGTTAACTAGTAATGATTATGGAGAAAGTGATCTTAAAAAGTTTGAAGGAAGTAAAAGTAGAAGCATAACAAAAACCGTAGTATCAGTCAGTAGCAGTAGTCAGCGGGATCATAAGCGCGCACAAAGTTTTGGCAGAGGAGCTGCAAAGCCACTCGGCTTGGGGAAGGGAAGGAAAGGTTTTGAAATTCCCTTGCAGCTTCACAGCCAAAACTCTCACACGGGCGAAAAAAACAAAAAACAAAAACAGGCCAGCTGATCTGACAGGCAGACCAAGCGTACTATGGTAGTTGCATGTTGTACAACAGGGAACTTAAGAACCACGACGAAGTTCACGACGACGACGACGTCTGTTGACTGGGAAACGACTGGAACGAGAACGTCAGTTTCGGCGGCAAAAAGAAAAATTAAGATGCAGTCAGTCGCTAAGTCTACGACGACGACACTGAATGTAAACACAAACGTAAAACTGTGATGTTCGTTCGCAACAAAGTTTTCTGGAATGGCGTCTTTTAAAGCAATGCAAGATCTTATTTTTTAAAACCGTACGTCTTATCTCACTGACGATGAAGAATTTTTTGTGTTGTCTGACCTTTTCGAGTGGAAAAACGCCTGCCTTCCGCACAAAGATTATTCAACTTTCAACCTGAATGAGATGACCGAGTCCGAGTGTCTGTCAGAGTTTAGATTAGGAAAAAGAGACATTCTGATACATGTGATAGCTGTTTTCCATATAAAGTTTATTTCCTCTATATTATAATTTGCCTTACCTAAATACGTACAAGTAAATTTCTCACTTACGAGTTCGCTCGCTCGGCTTTCACAGCTGTTGTCATTCTTCGAAGTAAAAACAATTCATTATAGTACACTTTTAGTCGAATTTTCAATCAACATCGCTTGTTAGGAGAAAAAAGGAACGATACCTGGATTTGCGAGGATAAGAAAAAACAAAGGACTTCAAAAATCGCTTAAAACAGTGGATTTATACCTGCCGAAGCTTGTGGATTGCAGGACGACGTGATTGTACTTTGTTTGGCGTCGTCGACGACACCACAACGACGAAATTTACTGGTCGCGCTTGCACAGTACACTGTAACTCACTTCCGGTCGTCGTCATGGTTCTTAAGTTCCCTTTTGTTAAATAGAGGTTCGTTAAATGGAGGTTCCACTGTAGTTCAGTTCATACGGGGAAAAAAAGCGTCCTTTCCAATTCCTGTCCTTCAGGCCCCGGTTGTTCAAACGTTGGATAGCGCTATCCACCGGATAAATCGCTATCCAGTGGATAAGTGTTATGCTTTCCAACTGCGTTATCGAGTGGATCGAAATTTATCCAGTGGATAGCGCTATACACCTTTTGAATAGCCTGCGAGCCGCAGACGTATTTCCGGTCGTCGCCTCTTTTCCTCCGAAAAAAGCGTCTGTTCCCCGCACACTACCTTTTCAACAACTGGAGCGAGATTGGTTTGTGGTCACGCACGCTCTCGGCACTTATCGATCCGGTCCATAAGGTAGTAACTAACCTGACCTAGTATTTATCACACCGTCACAAAAACGAACTTCCTTACTGGCTACCTGCGTCAGTTCTAGCCGAAAGAGAGCTGAGGAGCCGTGTGGCATGCAACTTCACTTTTTGCGTAAGTCAAACATGGGTCAAACAAATGTGACAAAGTTTTTTAATTCTCGCGCGCCCGCGAGTTGGGGGGGGGGTACTCCCTTACAAAAGGCTAATGGGGATGTGCCGCTGGATGGGGTTGCATTTTCACAACTGGATTGGCTAGAATGGGGTCGCAAATTTTCGGATTTTTGGGGTAAGTAGGGATTCAAAATCGGAAAATTCTCGGTGAAAAAAAACAGAAACTTGTTGTTTACTAAATTTAACAATAAGCTCGCACTAACCGCATTGCATTCCGTTGCTTGAAACCACTATTGACAAGGTAGATGCATAAATAGAAAGTGACTAAGTTGGGATCGCAAAAATTACATTTTCCAAAAAGTGACTATTTGGGGTCTATAATTGGCCAAAAAATAGACTATAATGGGGTAGGGGCCCCTGAGAGGCCACCGGCACATACCCAGCAAACATTTACCCAAGTACCCCCCCCCCCCTCCCCTGGCTCGCGCGCCACTCCCTTGGCTCAATTCGGATTCATTTCCACCTCGACCCGTGATTATGATCACGAGTTGGATTATTAATACAAAGTTCAATCGACGACTGTAACCTCCAACAGTCGATTTATCAATCAAAGCTTTCTGCGTGCAGGAGCCGATCGTACTCGTAAGGGTCCGAAGACGGGCTAAAAGTATGAGATTACTGCATCCAAAGCGGACGCGAGCCTTCGCTGTTTGGCAATATTTTCTTGTTTTTTGGCCGTCTTAGCTTAAGAAGAAACAAAGCAAACTGCGGCTCTAAACATAAGGAAATTTAAACGTCTTTCTGGAAAGAACTAAAAAAGACTTCAACTTGATGTTTCATATGTTCCAACATTCATCTTCAGAAGTAATAAACCGTTGAATCAGCAGTGTCATTTAAACTAAATGTAGAATAATTAACTAACTTAAAGAAACAAACGATGACATATGGCAAGAAAATTTGCATACAATGAGAAACAGCACGCAAGCTAAAAAAGGTAAAGTTTTTCACTGCACTGCAGACAATTTACGCCCAGCGATAATTGTGATCAGAGAAATTAAAAAGCACATTTCTGACGAGCCGTCAGTTCATTTCAACCTTGCTGACATGCTCGGGCGACAGAAAATTGAGTTTGTGGTACGTGATTCGTTTCAGAATTACAGTACGATCAGACAAAGACGCCGGTGAAGGAGATTTAGGCCTCTGTTTCCCGTAGAGGCCCCTGCTGGTATTTGAAGAATAAAATAAACAGGACACGGGTGTGATATGGGAAGAGAAAATAGGCGGGAAATTGTCCCCCGCGCGCTTTCTCCCCCACCAGTTCAAACGCAACGCCTCTCGTTCTTAATAATAATAATAATAATAATAATAATAATAATAATAACAATAATAATAATGATAATGATAATGATAATGATAATGATAATGATAATAATAATAATAATAATAATAATAATAATAAATTATAATAATAATAATAAGAAAACTTATATAGCGCCGATATCATTATTGCTATTTTCATCAGCGCTTAAAAAAAACAAACAAACAAACAAACAAAGTGGATGAACTTACCAAAAAGTTAAAACAATTATGTCAACACTATGGCGTAGGCTCTGAACAAGCTTCCGGGGAGGGTGGAGTGGAGACTAGCTAAAAAGGAAAGAGAGGAGGCGGAGGGGAGAAGGTGGTGGAGAACATAGGTTGGTATGTGGCTAGATCGCTGATTCTTGGATGCTGCACGATGAATAATGAACACATGTCTATTTTTCAATGCTCTCAGTCCCCATAACACTCTCCAACGAATTGATTCTCTTCTTTTTAAGGAAAACATGTCAAGGAGACATGATCTAGCACCAGACGTGATCTAACACCAGTCAGTAACCACACTTAACCCCCGGCAGAGTTAATTTTCGACTGTGGTGCAGGCTAAATTTAGGAATGCGGCTTACTTACGGAAGGGACTGATCCAAAGCGTATACTAGACTAAAGTTCGCGCCTCCTGTTAGCCTGCATTTCTGTGCATACTCTACCAATCTTGAGGGAAATTAACAAAAGTGTAAAGTTGAATAAGTATATATTTTTTCTTTTGTAGGAGGCTGAGAAACACTTATGTTGTTCAAGATAATACTAACTTCTGGGTCTGTGAGTCAAATCCTAAAATGTGACTATTCAAATAAAGTTTCTGAGCATTATCTTCCTGTTCGTGTTTATTATATGCTCTATGGGTCGATTTAACCTAAGGCGGTTCTTCTTTATTATAATTACTTTTACCTGTCAGCCGAATTTCGCGCTTCCCCCCCAAAAAAGGAGGCTTGAGCGTAGCGATTATAAAGTGTAACCATTGAAGTAAACGCTACCGAGCATGTTCGGCTTTCCTGGGCAAAGTTTATTATGCTTTACAAGGTGTTTACAGTAATAGCTATTTTGTACCGTTCGGTTATCATCTACTGTTGCTTTTAACCTGACGTGTTCAATCGATAAAAGCGATAATCGATAACAATTGATAAAATCGATAAAAATTCGTTAATTGTATCGGAAATCGATAAAAATCGATAAAGGGATACGTTGTGAGTAATCGATAATTATCGATTTTTAAATTATTGTTATCGATTTTATCGAACTTATCAAATTTATCGGCGCAATACGTCTCTAGGTATTTAAGGGCAGCGAAGCATCAGAACTAGGATGAGTTTAACGATTTATTTCACAAATCAAATATTGAGCAAACACGTAACATAACAAGTTCTTCTTGCATTTTACTTAGAAAAGTATTCAAGTTTAACACCGTTAAGACATTGTTCGACGGTAGTACAGTGGACGTCGATATAACGAAGGGCCAAGGTACTGACAAAATGTGTTCGCTATGTACAGGTTTCGTCATCTCGAGGTTCTTTTTCATATATCTTGCCATTACTGGGGCGAAGAATATCGTTTGTTGGACCAAGGAATTCGTTATATAGAGGTTCGTTAAATCGAAGTTCCACTGTAGCTGTCATTTCAAGTACCGAAGCTACATTGTAGTTACAATTCTAGACATAATCTCCAGTAGACATTTTGTTAGAAAAACCCTTGCTGCAGCAAAATTAAAATCATACTGCAAAGTAGAGTTCCTATAAATAGAACAAAGTAGATGATGAACTCCGCAGTTAAGTCAAAACAGAAGTAGTGTATCAAACTAATACATTACTGATATAAATGTGAGAGGAACTCGACATTACAATTAATATACGGTCCTTATCAATTAAGATCAGTATGAGAGTTTTTCAAATCATTAATACGTGTGGTATCATATTGAGTAAACCTCAATACTGACTGGAATTTTCAATAATTAAAAATACAC